TTGAACATCGAAATAAATGTGTAGACAGCTACTGCAGAGTTGAGCATCAAGTCTCTCGATAACTGCTGGAGCTTACGTGGGCGCGATTGCCGACTTTACAATGGCTCTAACGATCTGCGAGTTCGTGTGGCACGGGTCTCAACAGCAGTTCTCCCTATTGGTGTTCCTTCTTTTCTTTCTTCCATGGTTGTTACACTGCGGGCAAGGATTTAGAACCGGAGTTTCGCGGTCCCTCTCAGGTTAACGCACCCTAAAAGGGATCCCGAACGAGGTACAAGTCGAGGACGTTGTCCTAGCCGCCCACGTTACTTGGTCTCTAAGAGTCTTGCAGGCCCCTGCAAAACCTGAAAGATTCTTTCTCTCTCGCGTGATTTCTCAGAAGAAGAGAAGCCTTGTAATCCTCACGTCGTTCATGATTCACACCAAGAACTATCGAAGCATCAGATCAATCGATCCACCGTATGTCGAGAGTGAGATATCGACGCGCTTACAATTAATGAACTAATGCTTAGCATTCGGAAATCATCTACATCGATCTCAACATGAATATCGTCGCGGCACCAGAATCATATTGCCTGAGAGATAATATAATTGATTGATCATGTTGCCAATTAAACACTTATTATTTTTTCAATAGTTTTTTTTTTAATTCCGTTTTTAATGTAAATAATTCATTTGCAGTTTTACTGTGTCCAGTATATATTATTAAATCGATTCTGGGTTGGGATAAAAAATTTTTTTAATGAGTAAAAAATTGATGCGTAAATGAAGGAAGTGAATACAGAGCAGGATATCTAGGCTTTTAAGTATATCTCGTGATTAAAAAATTTTTTCATCACTAATAATCTTCAATAATGTAAAAAGTTGATGCTATAAAGAGTTTTTTTCTTAATATTCTATGATATGGAAGATAAAATTTGCCTACAATATTTTTAATACATTTCCTGTACACTCTTCATAATATTTTTTAATTTAAATTATTAGCATCATAATTTTGTACATTTTTTTAAATTAAAATTTAATAATTAAATATTTTTAATAGATACAAAAAATGCAGCACTTCTTCAAAATACTCTTATGCAACAACGTTTACAGTTCACTGCATTGATGATAATTAAAAAAATGTTTTTGAGTAATAAATTTTCATTAAGTTAAGTATAATAATATAAAATAAAATTATTCCATATGTTTTTTAAAACCCACACTTAATTTCCAATCAGCCATTTGCTTCTTTCGGGTAAAAAAATTTATTGTGACTTGGGCTACTTCTGACCCATCTTATTAAAAGAGCCATATGACCATAATTAAATTCAGATAATCCTGTAATATCATTAACGAAAAAGTTAATTAGAGGATAAAGAGTCAATTGGAATACTTGAGATACTTCGGAGCCTATTATGAAGATGTGTCGAAATTTCCATTGTATGCTGACTCACGTTGACTATGTTGTTTTTAAGTAGCGGTCCTGTTACAAGGCACGTGGCCCATTAGGTTAATAAATCTGATTACAGAAGAAACGTTGTTCAAGTAAGTTCATCACGAGGTCTCCAATTCCGTTATTCAGCTCGTCTTCAACTGAATCAAATCTTATTGTACATTTCTTTCCTATTTTATAATCGATAAGAGGTCTTTGACTTATCACTTTCATCCGATAAGTATCCTATAAAAGCCATTACCAGGTTTCTTGTTAAACTAATGTCTTTATATCTCAATTGAACTTTCTCCGCGGTGTAAAAAGTGATGCTTTGTTATTTTCTACCTACTAACCGGCAAATGAGAACATTTTGTAATAATTCATAAAGACATGAGGTGTAGCTAAATCATTCGTACAAGATCATGCATCAAAGCCAACGGTATCGTAGAATACAAGAGCATTTTCCCATCGGTTATTCACCACCATATGGTCACCAACAAGCCCTCTGGCTGCAATCTTAACTTAGAGTAATACATAATATGTGACGATCTAATGGGCATCATTTCGTCCTGATCTAGTGTGCTGCAATCTAACCTTGTAATCTTCTTCATGTATAGTTCTGCAATAAACCGTGAAATATTACCTTCCAGGAAATGAATGAATTGTAGTCAATAAAATTCCACATTGTAACTATCATGTTAACAGCAAGGATAGAACTGTAAATTTATTATTTTCAATTGACTATTTTTGTTTCTAAATATTCTATCGTTAAATTACCGTTAAATGATCCAGTAATTTTGTTAATAAATAATTGATTGTACTTAAACCATTACTGATATTATTGTAGTTAAATGTTAGAACAAGTAAATTGTTACATTTTATGTATTTAATTCTCTCGAATTATAAGACAATAAAAATATCGCTTTAAGTCGTTTTAAAGCTCAGTTACATTACTTTGGATTTAAATATTGGCCTTGACACGATCAAATATAATCAAATAAAAAAGGATAAAAAAGTGATTCAAGGAAAAATAAATAAAAATGCAAAAAAAAACATCGACATACCAGCATGGGAACATCCTGTCTATGGATCCCCTAGAGCACTTGTGCACAGTGTAATCTACGTTATAAAATCCATCAGTTTACAGTTATCATAGCGAGCGGCAACTCCTAGCAATCGATAACGTCAGATAACGAGATCGTCGTACTACTTCGAATAAGACATCCGATCTTGCAATAAATGCCCTAATTTGTCTAGTCAATGGACAGCGATATAAACGTCGAAACAGAAATTATAGAATTCACTGTAAATTGGAACGATTAGATAATAAATTCAAACTAATTGCATTATTTTCTATCCCAAGAACTAGCATGCAACCACTAAAAAAAATTCCAACCCATAAACGACCTTTGAATCGTCGTCGGCAAGAGGTTGTTTATTAAAAGAAATTGTGTGTAATAATTAAAATATTTTTTTTGTTTGTAGATAATTAAATCTGGTTATGCTAATGTCGCGTACTGTAAAGACATCACCAATACAATCTCACTTGATGTTCCTGTAAGATATTCTCACGCTTACAAATGGCAACTTAATTCGGTATTAGTAGTTGATAATAATAACGAAGATGATTCCTCTAGATGATAAAATCCTATTGGGCGATTTAAAAAATATGAAAGAGTTCAAGTTGATTTTCTTGGCTCTTAGAAGTTGATGGAAAATATGGTAAATAATTAGCGTCTATTATTGTGTATATCTAGACAATGTGAGCCAAGTTACTTTAGAAGGGTTTTATTGTATGCGATAGTGATGGTTGTTACGAAGAAACGGGAGCTCGATCTTCTCTGAGCTATGAATAGCCTGAAGAGAGGTTACTATTCCCTTCGTGTGCTTCATGAGGATGTAAATAACGGGAGATGGATAAAGGAAGAGGCGGTAAGGGCGTCCATTTTACGACCAGTCTTGGTATCCTGGTGGATATCAAAGGGTAACATGAGTCGACTACTTAATATCGATCGATATTTCAAGGATATATATATCAATTTATTTGAATATTGTTAATGCTAACATAAAGTGATACTGTGTATAATGTATCGAAATTAGATAAGAAATACGAAGCATCTAAGCTGTGCACATTCTTATAAAGGAAGAAAATGAAAGAAGCGAATGTTTAAAGATAACATGCTTTTCTTGTACTCTCAATAAGTTTAACTCAGTGGTGCCATAGCATACCACCAATTATCAAGTTTATTTGGTATACGAGACAACTCCATGAACCTAGAATTTTATGTTGTGCTGGGGAATTCTATAATTATAGTTGAACAGAAAAAGAGAAACTGTTATCTCCACTTTACTACTTTAAACTCGTACTAAGTGAAATCAAATGATGATATTTTATTGAACCTTGCAATTTTCCTAATTCGACAGACCGTGAAATCATTTTTAAAAACTGTCATTTTTAGCGATTGAGTGGAAATAAATATTTACACTTTTGTAAAATAGAAAAGTTATATTTTTCATTTTACTTTAGAATTAAATTTTTTTTTTCATTTAAATATTTTCCCTTAGAGACTTTCATTTTGAAGAATAAAAAATAAATTATATTGAAAAATTATGTATATATACTTGAGTAATTTTTTTCACGTTTCAATGTAACGAGTTTTTTTCGTTTCCGTGATTTAAAAAACCATTATTCACCAGAAAAAAATAAATTTCGAAGCTGCTTTAAATGTTACGAAATAAATTCACGTAAGGTATGTTCCTTAAACCAAGCTAATTGAAAAAAAAAAGTAAAAAAATTTTTTCTCCTTCGGTAACACAATCAAACATCCGAAGTAAAAAACAGCTGATAAAAATATATTCTCGAATAGTTTGCATTTCCTTTTTGAGTGGTATTTTATTCACGTTGCAGGTTCGTCGGAGCAATGACCGATAAATGTAATCTCATTTCCAATTCATAAGGACTGCCTCAAAACAGTTTGGAGGAACCGGAACTTTATGTGAGTCCCTTTGAAACGTAATTCGACGAGAATTTTAACGAATCACTGAATTTCTAAGTGAAATGGTCAACATCAGTTTGAGTTAAAGCTGGCCAGTGGTTCATGATGCAACACGGCTGCATCACAGCAGCAGGTCTCGGATGAGGTTATTGAACTCTGAGGACTGTTTGAAGTTTCGAACCTCTGTTTTTTAGCATCTGCATCTGTGGTTTTAAGTGTGGAATTTGTTTTCGGTTGGTACCTCGAAGAAAAAAAAACTCGCAGAATAATTATTGCAGTTAAACAGAAATCTAAAACTCGAAAATGATTTTTTCGGAATTTATGCTTGTCATCTGTAGGAGAAATTTATTGCAAGCATCATACTAATTAATTGACAACAGTTGTAATCCGATAGAAGAATGCGTTTCCGCAGGATATAGAAGACAGGATAGCAAAGTAGGAGAAAAGAGTGACAATTTATCATGATCTAGGAAGACCGAAACGTTATACGATTCAGTAGCTCTATTCAATGACAATAAAAAAAAAAGACAACCGAAAATAAAAAATTGACAATCCGGTAATTTAGTGTATCACTTCATAATCAACAGAAAGAAAAATTGTCAGTAAATTAGTTGTCATGTAACCTACATAAAAAATTTAGTCATCACTTTCATGTATAAGAGAGCTGCATATCCGTTCATTGTGATAATTTTTTATAAGAATCATAAGACAAATTACCAGTTTCACCTGAAAGAATCGTATAACGTCACGTAACTTTGTACAACGTATGACAACACAATACAAAAAGAAAGACTAGTAATAGCACAAGAGTGAAGATGAGATGAACATCGCGTCTGAAGGGACAATCACCAAGGTAGTACATCTACCCACTTATTAATAACGTCCGCCGCTATGGCTTTTTATATCTTCTTGGCCGTGACGTGAAGGTTAATAACCATTGTGAGTCGACCATAATCAGACATTGGCAAGGGTCTCAGCATAGTGCAGACCTCGCCTGCAAAATTCTTTCATAATGGGTATGACCTACGACTCAATGACGCAATGACTTCCTAGACTTTTCATAAACTCTATTATTCTATGACACTTCGTTAGCATTACATTACGAGTAATTAATATTCGAAATGCGTGTAGGAATATATGTACTTTAAGATGATTGGAAGAAGCATAAAAAAATAGATAAACGCACGAGGGAGAATTAAATTCATAAAAGCACACTCGCCAAATATAACGAATGGGCCTGTTTGTAAGAAATAAAATTGCTTTTACGATTGACAAGTTAATTAAAGATCGTTTTAATTGTAAATCGATATTAGATTTATATCTTTACGACGCTCGGCTGCTGTGTCAATTTATTGCACAATGATATGTTGGAGAGTTGAAGCTGATTTTTAAAATACCACAAAAAGCCATGGAGCCAAAGTCATCTGGTCATAAATAACAATTATTCGTGAATTATTTAGTCAGTTGTCAAGTAAAATCACCAGATATGATTCTGTTGATAAACTTTTGTGTGTTTGTACTGCTTCATCCATTTCTTACAGCAGCAGGTACATGAATAAAAGATTTCTTTATTTTTCTTTATCACTTCTTTATAACAATACAGTAATTCTTATTGGTCTCTACTTCGTCATTGTTGGTACCATTGGAGAATCGGACTCTGAAACTCATGATGATGATGGTTTCAATTATCATGATCTTGAAATGTGGAAAGAAAAATATCCCGAGTGTGGAGGGAATCGACAATCACCTATTGATTTGAACTCAAGATATTTTCAATCTAAAGTTGAAAACATTCCACTCAAGTTTCATGGATATGAAAGAGTACCAGCTAAAATGCAGTTAACCAACAGTGGACACTCACGTAAGGGTTCATTTATTTTTATGGGTTTTAATTTTCTTGAGGGATGTTGATTGTTTAGAGAAGTTGTAAAAATTGTTTAATATCAAATTTTCCTTTGGCTGGGATGTAATTGTAGTGGCATTAAAAGCAACGTGGTCGACTACAGATGAAATCCCGTACTTCAGTGGTGGTCCTTTTGGAAATGATGATTACGTTTTCGAGCAATTACATTTTCATTGGGGTGCTAATGACGAAGTTGGTAGTGAGCATACTGTTAATTTGAAAAGGTTTGTAATTTTCATCAGTGACATTTGATTATTATTTGTCACGTATATGGAAGAAAGAAAAATTTTCATCAAACAAATGATTGAATTTTTTCATGAAAAAATTATTCGATCAATTACACATATTAATTATTATTTAAAAATATTTTAGCTTTCCATTAGAGATGCATATGGTTCATTATAACAGGAAATATGAAGCAATTAAAAATGCTACAGAACATGAAGATGGATTATCAGTAATAGGAATATTTTTTGATGTAACTATAGATGAGTTTGAAATCAATTAATCAATAACAGTTATTTTTTGAAGAGTCATTGTTCTTTCTGTGTATCAATATTTTTTAGATCCATTTAACTGGAGCACGAGGTCTAGAGAACATTCTAAAAGAAATAAGAACTGTAATAAAACCAAAATCTCGAGTAGCAATACAACCATTTCCCCTCACTGACTTTGAAGGAGTAACGACTACTTCTAAATTCGCAAGTTATCTTGGATCGTTAACGACACCACCCTGCCATGAAATTGTTACATGGCTCTTCCCTATTACTATGCTGGATGTAACCAAAGCACAGGTGATAAAAATAATCCTATAAAATTTATTCAGGATTAAATTGAGAAAGTTAATAAAAACAAAATATTCTTCAGATGGAGACTTTAAGGTTGATGCAATTGGAACATGGCGATGACCATAACCACAGAACTGTCCAGCCCATCAACGATCGGGCGATATCAATTTTCAAGATAGAATAGAAATATTATAACTCTAGAAAAATTGTGATACACTTTTATTTTTAGAAAAAATTCAATTCAAGAATACTCTGAAAATAAAGAAATGATTATAGTGGAGTAAATTTTTTAATGTAATTAAATAACATTTTTTGCTAATTAAGTGAGACTAATGCATTGAATAATGAGACAATAGTCTGACAGTCTTAGAATAAAATTGCATTAATTAACAATTCATTAAATAATAAATTTGAATATCGGTATAAGTATAAATAAATATGATTTCATAAGTATTTCTAAAAAATCATGATTTTTCGGTTTATATTCATTAGAATAATCAAGTTTAACTTCAGCTAACGGTGGAAGTACTACTTTTAGTTATCTTTGTTCTTGAAGAAATTTAAACATGAAGTTTTTAAAAATTGTAATGATTCTTATTGTATCATGTTTATATATATCATCTTCAACGGCAGGTATGTAATTGTCTTTGAAAATAAGTTCATTCATAATCATCATTTTATTTTATATCATCAGATTTCAACTACAGAGACACCAGGTCCTGGGCTAGAAGATGGCCTGCCTGTGGTGGCAGAAGACAATCACCGATTGACTTTACCATGCGTAATGTCGATGAAAGTCATCGGAATCATAAAATTAAATTTAATAATTATGGTGTCATGCCTAAAGAGATAACCATACATAACATTGGATGGACTGGTAAAACATAAATCATGATAGCATACTTTATACAATTTTAATATATTCAATAACAAGAATTATTTAGAGTGAATCACTAAAACTAAATTCTAGTAAGAGCAGATTTTGCATGGGATGATGAAGTACCAATCATTAGTGGAGGATTTTTCAATGGTTCATATCGTTTAGACACATGGTATTTCCACTGGGATGCTCGAAGCAATAATGGGAGTGAACATACAGCTGGAGGCAGAAGGTTTATCATTTTTCTTTCGCTCTGTTAGATCATCATATCGTTTCAACAAGAGTCAAGCATAATTTCTTACAATTTTAGTGCTGCAATGGAGCTCCAGCATTTGTATTATAAATCTGAATATGGTTCTGTGGAAGAGGCAGCAAATCATGAAGATGGATTTATACTCTTAGGTGATTGGCTGGTAATATACATATTCTCTAAATCAATTCACATATTCTTAGAATAATTTTCTAGTTATCTTCTTGGGTAGTTTACAGAAAAACTTAAAAACGATTCAGTTGAGTCACAGGTTTTCCATCAATTTTTGACTAAAGTTCCATTAGTCGCAAAACCTGGATCTTCTGCTAAGATCGAACCGTTTAATTTACTCTCACTAGTATATCCTGGAGCTAATAACATTACATGGATTGTTTATTATGGTTCATTGACAATACCACCATGTACAGAAAATGTTATGTGGTTGATAAATACTTATACACATATAATAGATAAAAAATTGGTAAATCAGTGCACCATTTAATTAATAATCAATAATATTACAAATAAATTTAATTAATTAAAACACCCATATCTACTGGAATAATAATAATTAATATATTTACAGCTGAAAGATATTCAAACTACAGTTCAGTTCTCAACCGGTGATGACCATAATGTTAGAGAAATTCAACCATCGAATGGGCGTAAACTATACTTGATGAGCGCTGAACTATTATCATAATTATGTACATGTCTATAACTGATCTGTAATGTCGTTGACGTCTATAATCAATAATTAATAGTAGAAACACAAATAGTAATTTATATAAATGATTCAAAAATAAATTAAATGCAGTTTTGAACTTCATCCATTTTGCAATGAATTATTTAAAATACTTCGACTATTGTAATATTGATAAAAAACTTGAGGTTGAATGACATGTTGATAGAAAGTAACAGCATAATGAAAAATGTATTGCTAATTATTGCGTATTTAAATGTAATTTTAGATAAGAATGAAAATAGCTGTTAATATATCATTAATATTCCTCTGATAATGATATTGCGTTGAATACTAATCAAATCCCGACAATATTAACGATTTTCTGAGCATTCCAAATCATTATGGAGTTTCGTCTCCACTGAACGATAGAAATAATTTACAGTAACATTTCTTCAAATTAGAGTCTTTTAAAATGAAGCTACTTATTCTTCCATTTACTCTGGCTTTATTCAACTTATCAGCTGGCGGTAAATAATTTTGATATATATTTTATTAGTAAATTATTATTATTTCAATTGCTTTCGTGCCAACAGAATTCCGTTATAGAGATTCTCATTCCTGGGCTAGACATTGGCCTGCTTGTGGTGGTAGGCGACAATCACCCATTGATATCAGTCTGTCCATAGCTGATTATAGTCAAAAGGATAATAAACTTAAATTACAAAACTATGATGTAGTTCCAAAAACTATGCGAATGGTAAATGATGGTCATGCAGGTAAGAATATAGCTAGGATAAAACCTTCATTTCCACTTTATAAAAATAACATTGTAAAATTTTTTATAAGCTACTAATAATTAAATTTAAAATATAGTAAAAGTCATCTATGAATGGAACGATCAAGTGCCAACAGTTAGTGGTGGACTTCTCACAGGTTCCTATCGTTTACATTCACTAATATTTCATTGGAATAACAAAGGTACTGAGGGTTCTGAGCACACATTCAATAAAACCAGGTTTTTTTTTTTAAATTAATAATGATAAAATTATTTGAATAACTAATAGTTGATCTAATTGTTTTTATAATTTTTTTAGAGGTATAATGGAATTGCAATACCTACACTACAATACTAATTACAAATCTTTAAAAGAAGCTATGCATCATGACAATGGACTCGTGATGCTCGTAGACCTATTTGTAAGATACTTCTGCACATGAACTCTAATATTTTTTAACTTTATTAATTTTATAAACATATTCATTTTAGTTCGGAGAATCGGTTGCTCATAACTCTTATCAATCTCCAATTTTGCATCAATTATTTGATCAGTTTGTTCGAGTTTCGCATCCTGGTTCATCAATTAATTACGAAAACCGATTTGCTGTACTTGATGTAGCACCACCCAATGGTAATGATTTGGCATGGATTGCTTATCCTGGATCGTTAACAATTCCTCCATGTACTGAAAATGTTATGTGGATTGTCAATACGTATCCTCATTTAATGGATACTACACAGGTAAATGAATTTCGCTATTTTTAATCATAAAAAATTTTTTTCGCAATTTAAATCATTATTTTTTTTTGATTATGAGTCTATAATGGAGTATTATAATTTTGTAGCTGCAACGAATTCAAAATACAGTTCGATTTGCACACCACGATGATCATAATTTCCGGGATATTCAAGAATTAAATGGACGCAAACAATATGTGTTGTACACAGAACCATTTCTTCCTGTGTAATTAGTATATATCTTCAATTACTTATACAAAAGATGTAACAATGAATACTAATAAATTTTAATTCAGTGAAATAATAAAAATTTATCAATGTTACTTCCACAGTTAATTTTCCTTGTTTCCTGAAGTATTTTTTACGAAGGTGTAGATTGAGAAATACTTAGTTTAAACTCAATTTATTCATTCATTTCTTCTTGAATTAAAAAAGAGATTGAAAAATAATAATTCTGTATAGTAAGTTCAACAATTTTGTTCACAAGTATTTTACTTTAAAGAATTTATCAGTAAAATTAACTCTTTTGTATCTTCATCATAATTTCTGTATTACATAATCAAGTGCAAACACTTTTAAATTATTGTCATTTAACGCTATAAGTTTATGAAAATAATAGTTTAAACGTTCTGACAATTATGACTACATTTTTCGTTGATTGATAAGAAATATTTATTACTCAAAAAAAAAAAATTCTTTTAACATAATAATATATAACTAACGTAATTTCCCATTTTTTCTTTTTTTCGCAATACATAATCAAACCCTACAGCCTACGTACAAGCACTAATCCACTAATTGTTCATATTATCTAGCACTAGGGGTACATAAAAATAAATTAGTTTCCGTGCAAATTACAATAATTAAATTGCCCATACTACACTTCGTAAATTGATAAATAATAAACGAAGTTTTTTAGTAAACTTAGTTATCGTTTGAAGCTGGTGCATTACTTATCAACTTAATAAATAATGGAATCCGTTAATAAGAATAGTTTTATGGGTCTAAGTATATTAATAATAACATTCTTCATTGATTCGTCTTTAACAACAGGTATTAATTTTATTTATCAATCAACTATCAAGAAAAAAAGACTACCTAAAGAAAAAACTACTCTTAGATTTTGATTACAAGAATGTTGATTCCTGGGTACAAAAATATCCAATGTGTGGTGGTCAACGTCAATCACCAGTACGTGTCGAGGAAGATCAGGTTGATTTGTCAGATTCCGATGATATGATTTCTTTAGTTAACTACCATAATAAACCATTAAGTGCTACATTAGTAAACAGCGGTCATTCCAGTAAGGAATTGAAACTTAAAATAAATATTTTAAAGTTAAATAATAAATTCAAATATTTTAAATCCTTCAATTAAATCTTAAATTTTAGTACAAGTGATGTTCGTATGGGATGAAAATAAAACACCTTTTATGACTGGTGGAGTTTTAGGTGAAACTGAATATGTTTTGGATTCATTACATTTCCATTGGAGTCGTGTTAGTAATGAAGGTGGGGAGCATCTTATTCTCGATTATCCGTAAGTAATTATTTACTACAATTTTTTTATGTCAACTATTTGCAATAAGTGATCGCTACTAACATAATATTAAATTCATAGTGCTGCAGTAGAGCTCCATGTTGCCCATTATAATCGTAAATACGGTAGCATGAAAAATGGTTTAAATTTCACTGATGGGTTTGCAGTAATTAATACCCAATTCGTAAGCTAAATATTTAATTATAATTATTTATACGTATTGAGAGTATTTTTTAGATCAGCGTCTCTATAGTTAAAAAAATTCTTTTATTTTTTCATTAGGATATTGATTCGAAACGGCGACGACGCGATGTGGACTTCGATTCTTTCATGGCATCAATGGTACAGCCTTCGCCAGCACTAAGTCAAATTATAAATAATTTAGAATCGATTAGCACTCCAGGATCAAGTGTTGAAATTGAACCATTTTCTATGTATGAATTTCAACCTGTTCCATTAGAAACATTGACCTACATAACATACATGGGATCATTGACTATTCCTCCATGTACCGAAAATGTGTTGTGGTTATTGAGTACATATCCTTATTTCATCACTGCAGAACAGGTATATTTTTCATTTGAGTTTATAATTTCAATATTTATCACGATTTATAATTATCTATTATACTCAATTCTATAATAAAAATTCTTTTTTCCTATCTACAGTTGAAGACTCTCCAATCAACAGTTGAATTTGATCATGGAGATGATCACAATAATCGCGATATTCAACCTTCGAATGATCGCCAATTTTCTATTGCCAGGGCTATCAGCAGATCTACTAACTGATTCTATTTTATTGATGTGTGCCAGAATTTATTAAGAAATATTTATAGATGTTTGGAGTATTATTACTGATGATAAATAAAAATATTATAATTATTAGGCATATGTATTATACATTTTTTTTTAATGAGACACAAAAAGTCTTAACCTAAGTTAGAATATCAGACAACTGGGCTGCTAATGTTCAGCTTGATCCAGCGTTTATTTTTCCACTAAGAGTCTAGTCTAGGCTTTTGACAGTCTTGTCTAAATTTTATTCTTATCAATTTCTCACAACATAAAAAAGCTTTCTAAGCTAATTAGTTACATTGTATCTATAGTTTTTCATATTTTTTTTTTGTATCTAATGATTTAGCGTAGCGAACAACTCACTGATTTTTCTTATCATTTAAAGCAGCGAGAATGGAAGAATAAATAGCTTACTACAGAGATTATAATAATTTAATTTTTCATGTGAGATTTTTGGATTGATACCACTTATTTAAGTCAGCTGTGGTAGAATTTTTAGCTATATTTCCAAACGATTTAAAAACCTTTTAGACTTACAACCCTTTAATTAACAATTCTGACTGTTAATCTAAATAAGATTTCTCCTCTACAGTTACATATTCTTCAATCAGTGGTTGAATTAAATTATGAAGATTACCACAACAATCGCCCTGTTCAACCACTGAAAGGTCACTTTCACTTTATTATTAGGTGCTGATGCTACGTTAGTTTAACTAAATCTTGTAGATGTATCGCAGAATTAATAAAATTATGGTCATAAATGTATGAAATATTCTGTTTAATGGTTGAACCATGAAAATTTTTCCAACTTACTTATTCTTGCGTTAAAATTTTTTTTTAAGTATTTATTCCTATGTGTCTTTACTTAAGTTTAATCCTTTCGTGTTCCGAATTATTTTCTCTATTTCTTTTAAATTCTGTAATTTATTGCACTTATTTTTCTTATCGTTCAACAGACAAAATAATATAGCTGTTGTAAAAAATGTAATTATTCAATTTACTACTCTATATTTAATAACCTGATAGCTACTTTTTTAGCACAAAATTGTTGAAGGTTGTTTAGTTACCAATTCGAACTGTTGAATTTTACATAAATAAACTAAAAAATGAAGCAAGTAGGTAATCATGGTTTCATGGGTTCTATTTTACTAATAGTTATAATATTATTCATTGAAAAGTCATCATCAACAGGTATCTATTTTAATATATCACAAATATCGAAAAATTATTTTCGTTACGAAAATCGTTTGTAGAATTTAATTATCATGATACTGATGCCTGGGTACAAATAAACTCACAATGTGCCGGTTCTCGCCAATCGCCTGTCAGCATCAATTGGATGAATTTTATGGATAAAAAATCTGATGATCCAATGTACATGTTCAACTACGATAAAAAACCATTAAGTGCCAAATTATCGAACAATGGTCATTCAAGTAAGGAAAGAAAAAATATCCAAAAGTAGAATAAAGATTTTATTCATTTATTGAATTTTGATTCTAGTAAAAGTAGATTTCGAATGGGATGAAATTCCATTCATTGCTGGAGGAGTTTTGGATGAAAATGAATATGTCCTAGATTCAATGCACTTTCATTGGAGTCGTAACAGTAGCATGGGAAGTGAGCATATAGTTCTTGGATATAGGTTTGTACCCATGATAGTAATTTTTTCATTTCGATTATTTGCTGTGAGCAGTGATATGATATTGAATTTATAGTGGGCCATTGGAGATGCATCTTGTTCATTACAATCGTAATTACGGCAGTGTCAAAGATTCTTTAAATTTTCCGGATGGGTTGGCAGTAGTCGGAGGAATATTTGTAAGCCAAAGATTTAATCGCAATAAATCGAATCTTTATTTAAGGCAATTCTAGAATCAATACTTTTCTGTCTGAAGATAAAATAAAATAATGTTGTAATTCTTTTATGAGGAAACTGATACACAACGTCAACGACGTGACATTGATGATGAGAATGATATTTCAGAAGTATCACAGAAATCATCAGCTTTAGACCAAATTATGAGTCATGTAGACTCAGTTAGCACTCCCGGGTCAAGTGTTGATATTGAGCCATTTGCTATCAATGAATTCCGACCTACTAAAATACCGAAACCTGCGTACATATCGTACTTGGGATCATTGACTACACCTCCATGTACTGAAAACGTGGTGTGGTTATTAGATTTCTACCCTTATTACATCAGTCAAGACCAGGTAAATTTTTAATCCAATCTCATTCGTTATACAATTCAAATTGTAAATCTAAACAATCTTCTCTATTCACAGTTACAGATTCTTCAAATGACGGTTGAATTAGATCATCATGATGATCATAACAATCGCCCTGTTCAACCAATGAATGATCGTACTTTTACTTTATTGATGGCTGCTGATGGTACCTCAGCTTAACTAAATTTTGTAAATGTGTCGCAGAATTAATATATTAGGCATTCTGTTTGATAATAAAAACTATAAAATTTTCTTCCAACTTACGTATACTTGTGTTCAAATTTATTTTAAATGTATTCGATCCCATGTACCTTTATTTAAGTTTAGTCCTTTCGTATTCCGAATTATTTTCTGTATTTTTTTTTAATTCTTCAATTTATTGCACTTATTTTTCTTATCATTCAGCGGATAAAAAAATATGATTGTTGTAAAAATAGTAATTATTTAATTACCACACTGCATTTAATAACCTTATAACTATGTTCGAATGCAAAATTGTTGAAGGTTGTTCAGTCGCTAATTCAAACTGTTGAGTTTTACATAAATAAACTAAAAAATGAAGCAAGTGCATAAGAACGATCTCATTAGCTATAGTGTACTCATAGTAGTAATATTCTTCATTGTCAAGTCATCGACAGAAGGTGCTTATCGTAAATAATTATCAACTTCAAAAGAATTGTGATTTCTGAAAACATTGTTTCCAGAGTTTTCCTATCTGAGTATCGAGTACTGGCCAATAATATTTCCACAATGTGGTGGACAACGTCAATCACCTATTACCTGGACTTATCAGGATTTGATTGCAGGCGATTCCAACGATGATTTATCACTATTTAACTATGGCAAAAAACCATTGAGTGCTAGATTATTAAACGATGGTCATACAAGTAAGAAACGGGAAGATTTTCGAATAATTATTTTTTAGTATTAAAGTTAAATAAAAAAGCTGATATTTTGTAATTGAATTTTGATTTTAGTAAAAGTGTTATTCGAATGGAATGAAAATGAAACACCTTTTTTTAGTGGTGGAATTTTGGGAGATAATGAATATGTAGTTGATTCAATGAACTTTCATTGGAATCGTTATAGACCAGAAGGTGCTGAGCATTGTTTTACCGATAATTGGTTCGTAACTAATATTATAATTATTTTCCCCCTTAATAGTTACGATAATAGTTATTTTACAGTAGTCCAATGGAGATGCAACTTATTCATTATAATCGTAACTATGGCAGTTTCAATAATTCCTTAAATTTTACTGATGGTTTAGTTATATACTCAGCTGCAATCGTACGTTACAATTTTACCATTAAATTTAAAAATAAATAAATTAATGTTTCTGTAATTATTTTTTATTAGGATTACAGTTTTCCGAAAGCACCTAGATCAGCACCTCTAAGTTATATTTTCAAAAACGTAGAATTAGTTCGTACTCCTGGATCAAGTGCTGACATTGAACCATTTATCATTAGTAATATCATCGGCCATCGAACTCAAAGCTCATACTTGGTATACTCAGGATCATTAACTACGCCACCTTGTACCGAAAATGTACTGTGGTTGCTGAGTTCTACAACTCTTTTCATCAACAGAGAATTGGTATATTTCCTGATTAAATTTAAATTCCTAACTTAACTGCTGTTCATCGATAAAAAATAATTAATTGTAACATCCCATTTTATGATAAACATTCAATATTTTTTTAGATTGAATTTTTTCGATCGACAGCTGAATTTGATTATGGCGATGGTCATAATAATCGCCCTCCTCAACCACTAAATGGCCGCAATTTGACTTTTATACAGGGATTTGGAGATGCTGTTATATAATATAATTGCATGGATGCTTAACGAATTCAATTGAAGGAATCTTATAAATATATGTTAAACATTGAATTTAATTATTAATTGAAAATACTAAAATCATTATGTATCATTTATGTTTTGATTATTGATATGATTTACACAAATGAAGAGATAAAAAATTTTTTAACTGAATGTATCACACGAAATTGAAAAAAATAATTTTTAAATCCTTAAAGAAAACTCTAGTAAATTAAAAACATAATAACATTAAATGCTGAATCGGAAAAGTTTCACGGTCACATTGGTAACATTTCACTTGAATACAAAACTCTACAATCAAAGTTAATAATATTTTTGATTATCATGGTACAATAAAGTGAACTTCAATTTAATTTGAACCTGCTTCGCTTACAAAAAACTAAGCGTATCATCTTATTAGGTATCACCCTCTAGTAGAACCACATAATAACACCGAGCTTTTGTTGTCACTTTCATTTTTAATAAATGAAAGTTGATTAAACATGACCTGTGATTTCTAGAATAAAAAGCCGAAATAGACTAGAGTCATTAATTAAAAATTATAAATCGAAAGAAGATGATGTAAGCGGTATTTTTTATGTGCATTATACTCTGAAGACGAAAATATCACCATAGAAGGTGAGATTTCGTGCAATCACATCGCTCAAGGGAAAGGTAAATCGTTGTTGAGAAAGCGGCACGACAAGTCGCAAACTCGGGGCGTTTCCACTTAAGTCACGGTAAAGATTTCGTGATGCCTGAATGCTTCGATCGATCCATTAATGGAAAATTGTATTGAAGGTAAGATGCTGTAGTTCTTTCTGCTGTTATAGAAATGGCTTGATTCGTCTTAAAGACTAAGACGTAAATATTCTAGGAAGAATGGAAAGGTAAAATTACAAGAGACAAGCACGAACGGCAATTGAGAATCTATACTACGGGCGTGTCTCATTCGCTGACATGAGAATGCAATTCATTAAAAAGCATTTCATCTCTAAATAGTCAATTCGCGATATCATTAGCGGCGATTGTATACACAATCCGAAATTAATGAGAATATTTAATGCTGATGGAATCCATTGAATTGGGAAATAGCTGGTAGACCTTGAGGAGGTCGAAAGATGCTCGACCTGAAGAGTCGAAGGTTGTATCCCAGAATAAACCACGATGCAGTAGTGGCCATTCTCGAGAAAAGGGTAAAGGCTACGGCCTATTGGTAATTAAGTTAATTACAGAGTAATTAAGATTCATTGTGGCGCCAGTAAACTTCAAGGTTTAACCTTTGCTTATTTGATTTTGGAGATTTCTCTATACATTTGACTAATTAATGAATACGTCCAAGTAACTAGTCAAGTTTAATCGCCATCACGAAGTGAACTATTGGGTCAACTAGTTTATGAGATTACTCATGAGCACAAAGTTTAAACATGAAAATATTTATTACGAAATTTTATCGACTCAATTCAATGAAGAAAAAGAAATCTCTGCTTTAGGAGTAAAAGAAAAATAATCCGAAGGATGAAAAGGGTTTTATTAAATGAATAATTTCAATGCAAGCTTGATCAATCGAGATAAAACGATCGAGGAAACGCAAATACACCGAGATGATGAATGTTTCCGCTTTATACAACTATACGGCTCAGCTCTGAGTATTTTCTTCGGCAACTCGCGAATCCTTGGAGTTATTTTCAACACTTACAACCCTTAAGTTACTATCCTATTCGCAGGTGCGTTGAGCCAACTTGTTTTTCGATAAGGTTGGCACATGGAGAATCGATTAATCGGTCGATTAACGAGTCGATTTACTCTCTCCACATGTTTTCATACGTGACGTATCTGAAGGTAATGTACGATGTACGAACAAAAGGGCGTGTGCGATAAATTATTTGTAAAATTCCATCGCATGATGCATGATCATAAATAACTTGGCAAAAGATACTGTCAATGTATACTTTATTTCTACTTTGAAAATATCATCAGTTGTAAAATGATTTTTTAAAAATATTTATTACTATACCATTATCACAAACTGTCCTTTTCTCTATTTCGATGTTCGAGATATTACTATAAACATAAAGCCCACCCACGATGAACAATAATTTAGCACGATAGCCAGTACACGGATCCAGCTCCTACGGCAGCGACTTCATAGCCACGTTTACTCCTACGGGGTAGTGACGCTTATTGCTGTAGTGGCTACAACATGCCTTAACAGCAGCATCACCAACAAGACCGTCGATGTCTCCGTAATGGCTCCAACTCACTCCAATTATCAGATTTACTGCTGGATCAGACGACATAAATACTCCACATTCCCAAATAATTTTATCAGACTTTATTCTATCAGTGATTCAGATCGGGGAGTGGAAGTGGACAATTGAAGTAATATTGGTCGGCTAGAGATCAGATTGCTATTTTTCAATCGTCGTAGAAAAAACAATAAAACTAATTATATTTATGGGAGAGAGTTTAATTTCTCAGAGTGATTTAAAGTTATTTATTTTTTATAACCAAAGGGGATTAAAGATAGTAATTGATAAAAAGAAAATAAATATAAATTACTTCGTTTTGGAAAGTGGAAAAATGGAAGAAACCAGTGCAAGATTCCATCGTAAAAATCAACTATGCATTGTTCGATGTAATTTACAAAATAATGACTGCATTGATATAATTAATTCACCACATTCCTACATAGATTCTATCGTACCTCGAATTTTCCTAAAGTGGAATGGAATGAAAATACCAAGTTAATTTTCCATTCAACCATAAAAACACTAGAAAAAATTAGCTTATTGCCAATTAATTTTATTTATCACAGCAAAAGATTCCTAATAAACTCGATTTATCTTTTTTAGTTTTTATTTTACTGCCAATAAACTTTGAAAAACTTTTCTTCAGTGTACCACCATTATTTTTATTTTTTAATTTACATGAAAGCACATCTCCACTCGATTAATTTATTTTTATAAATAAATAATTACTTATAGATTTTGTTCAAGTCCCCAGAAGTCGGTTGATTACAAGAAAAAATCGAAAAAGAGGTTTGTTTTTTCGAAAATTCTTTATGGTTCATTTCGTGCGGATAAATTGAGCGAGATTTGATGTTTAACTCGTCAGAGTGATCAGTAAATGATCAGATGATTTTCAAAGAAAATTGACGGGAGAGAAAAAAGGGAGCAGAAAGAGAAACTGAGAAGGGATAATTTCATCGAAAGTCGATCGATCTAAACTGCTTCTCATTCTTCGGTTGATAGATGCTCGACCATCTGTGACTGATGTAGTCGACAGTCGTTTGCTCTCGTTAACTTAGAATTTGCGCGAAGATCCGTGAAGCCGATTGGCTTGGATTCCACAAACGATTGGCGAGATGCAATCGGTGACTGTGGAGCCGGTGATAAAGCTGACGATTTATAAGGCGGCAAGAGGCGAGAACTGATGCATCGTGCATTATGGAATTAATACGACTGGTTTCCACATTTTTATAACCAGTTTCTATATTTCTCACGTCATGGCCTGGCTACTGTTTGCTAATCTGAAATCAATGCAATAAGGTATCACCTCGAAGATTAAGTAGTGGCTTTAAGATAACAAATTGGTGTCAGTAAATAAAATTTAACTCTAATTAATTAAATAACTCATTTGCTAATTTTTTCTGAACATTATATTCTATTTTCTCTGTGAAGAACGCAGTAAGAAACACGACTGAGGTTCAAGTGGTTGATGAAACTGCAGAGAATATTTTCCAAGCCATTGAGATCGACGACCCAACCTTATCTCAAGGACCCTAAAGCAACTTACATCTAAATACATCAAGACCCTGTCGAATTTACGCCAAAAACCAGTCGCACATCAGAGTACCCTCTTCATCCGAAAGACCAGTGTCATTAAAGACGCATCATGTTCTTGAAAGAAGTTTACATTGGTCCTGACAGTTCTTAAATTGGCTGCTGTTAAAGCTTTTTGCCAGAGACCAAACTTAATTAGCTTTTATCATCGAATATTCTCGAATGCTTTAAATTGTATGAATAAATAAATTATTTAATTGAAATTGATATTTATAGATTAGCCGATGGAATTAATGGATTGATAATAGTAATAAATACTACAGGATTGCTGGAAAGTATATTATCGATTTGATAAATAAAAAACTGCTATTAATGCATTCAATGTACATGAAACGCCATATTTGTTTTAACACTGAGAATTCATTCAAGAAGACAATTTTTATATTTTAATTTAATATGTTAATATCATTAAAAATTAAATTGACTGAAATAAAAAAGATTTATGAAATAATATCGATGATAACTAATTTTGATATTCACCTATAACATAAAATGTTAAACGTAATAGAATCATGTACACAAACATTGTGTATAGTAAATGATTAACTCTGTGCTAGACAAACTACACAAGACACACATCTAACAATTGAGTATCAATATCAAGCGGTAAAATCAGAGTGTGAGCAGCAGAGCGTGAAGTAAAGTGGCCGGACTTGAGATCGTGTACGGCCCAACTCTCGACGAATTTATTAAGCCGTCTTGTAGGCAGCGTACGTGACGGATGAAAATTATGTACGCTCTACAATTAAATTCATCGTTCGACCTGTCGGACTTAAACTCGTTTTGTCAACCAGTAGAAGCAGCATGACAATCGACATTCTTTGCAGAACACTCGTTGGATAATCGTGCAAGATGATAGTGTCACTCTAGACACTCGTGAATTGCATTGCTAGGTACTTAAATCAAGATGAAGAAAAATTCTTGATTTTTTATGAGTACAATTTTGTTTTTATCTGTTAATAAAATACAAGTCTAGCTACTGGACAGTTTAGTTTTCCATTAAGAGACAGTCAGATTTATCCTTGCATTGTAGTAAATGCAAGATAGATCTACATAAGTAGGATCTGTATAGACTGCCAACAATTGTAACCTCAGGTCGATTCTCCTACGCTTAGCCTGTGCAACAAGATAAAAATACGATGAAAAAAATAAAAGGCAGGTATGCAACGCGATTTGCAATTCACTGGTTGACTGGAGAAAGCTTCGTAAATCTTGACTGCATCGTCCTCATCCTTCGAAGGTGCAGGCGAGGTCTTATATCATCGACCACCTCTTGTTCTTCTTGAAAAAAAAAAATTTA